TACCTCTTGATAGTGAAGTGGACTCAACATGTGGGTGTGCCATACCCAGTGTACATCCAACGGCGGTATTACATTCATGTCAGGGTGAGCAGTCTGAAAAAGCATTTTCTACTTCAGAAAACTTATTCAAGAAATTCTGCACTCCGAAAAACTCCATATCGAAGTGTTTGTCTTCAAACTATAGCAGAAACCGGCACTCAGGATTTCTGCTCTTATCTTAGGCCCTCATCGTAGGACCGAAAAACGCGACAAGCAAGGTTTCGAGCAGGTGTAATGCTCACTGGTCGTCAAGGCAAATCAAAGAGAGAGAAATCGTCTGCTGATGGGACTTGTTGTCACTCGGCAAGTCTCCGGAGAGATACAGGTGACGCCATCCGAATTTCTAGAGTTATGCGGCTCTCTTTTCCAAAGAATATTTCTGAAATGGTGACAAAGAAAGCAGTGGAATTGATAGATGCCTAACGCTACCATCCTGCTCGTGCTATAACATTGCCTTTTTGGGCTCACTCATTCTCTTTTATGGCGATATGAAGTTCGCATGGATCATGAATTCGTGGATAAACCAATAGGGATGTCCGCTCTCAAAAAGGAACTGCTGGCCCTGCCTCATTAGAACGATGATAAATTCCCTTAAACGAAATGGGGGAGGATTTCATCTTACCGAATCAATGCGAATGTAGAGGTGGTGGAGATGTGAAGGCAAGGCTGCAAGTTGGCTACCCATACAATCTGAGCATCAAGTGGCTGGTAGGAGCTCCCTCAAGCCATCCAAGCCTTCTACCCCTTCGGTCAAATGTCATCAGGCTCACCGAAGGTAGAGAACATCGCTACTGCAAGGATCAGGGCGTAGTTCAATTCCAGTTGCGGCGACCATGGCAAAAAATCTCTTATGATCACACGAGCGGGATCACATAAGCGTCATTCGAACCGGAACTTTATCGATTAATCGCGGCATTGTTGCACTGCGTCAACTAGCTAAGAAGGTCTCGGTTGGTTTGCCTGCGTCGCAGCCGAACTACACATAGAGGCCGTTGTGATTCAGAATGGATGTGAAATGCACGGCGTATTCCAAAAAGATTTGTTCTGTGTTGGTTCTTAATATCAACAGCGAGAGCGGATGGTGGCGATCGATCTTCTCTCAACACTGGCATGAATGACTCGAACAAATTGCATCCTAGAACTATAATATATTATTGGACTAAGATTCGGTTTCTTCGTTTTCGCCAAGCTCGAAAAAAAAAGGATGAACAGATTGACCCTCCCATAAAGCCAAAGCCTGGGAATATTTCACCTTTGGTCCAATTTATCTTGTGCGCGGAAATCCTCATTTCCAACCAAATGAAGGGCAATTCTCTGCCCTTACATATCTCATAGTCAGGTATACTGTACGTTGAAAGAATTACGCGGGATTGCCCTCTCATAATGTTCTGATGAGCTGTGTATGACGCAGAGAATGCTCTTGATTCCCAAGAAGATAGCCTGACAACTTTGGCAGCTTCATAAAATGCATTCAGGGGGAGAAATTCGCCTACTAAATAGATTTTCCCCCTGCCAAGCCTTCTTGAACTCTACGTGAGAGAAGTAAGAACAATCTTCAAATCCTTCAAATGATCCTTATCCTTGAATCCTCTACCTTTACTCTTCCCATGTCTTCTTTACACAACCACACCATCTGTTCGATCCTATGCACAATCCTGAAGCTTAACCTCGTACTCAATACCTCCCATCGGGCTTCACTTCGATTTCGCAAACATTAGAGGTCGTGTTGTGCCAAGCGTCTGGCTCGAGTAATTAACTTGTAGCTTTGCAAAACAACCCGTCAATAACCAGCAATGAAAATGAGTATGACCAATAGTGATGACGTAATCAATGGGGGCTAAAATTACCTGCATGGGCAGCCAACATGTTTCGTATCGTCGAATTGCCTGGTTAACCACTTCGGGTTCGTAGAGCAATGGCGCTTTCCGATCGATCATCCGGAGAAAATTCGCTTCACGCTGAAAAATTGTCATTAAATTGTTTCGATGCCAAGAGTCCCTAACTTTCCTCCAATATGTACGCTATTAAGCACCTGATTAGTGATGATCTAGATTTTTATAACAATACTTTTATGCACTTTTTGCCAATTCGTTTTCAGTTTTTCCAAGTTTTTTATGGATCTTGATTCTACAGTATACCCTATATCCAGGGAGTAAAGTGGGTGTGTCTGCTATACTTATTTAAACAAAGTGGCGGCAGCGATTCTGGTGGAATTTATACACTCCAGCAATGAAGTTTGTGTTGCTGCGTACTTCATTTGAACAAGGAAAAAAATAGAAAAAATTGCACTCATGTCTCTGTCCTGCACAAAATATGATGATAGATGTCTGAAACAGGATCATACTACCAGAAGCGCATCCCAGCTCATGTTCACAGGACTGCGTAGCCACGCTACAGGGGGGGCCAAAAAAAAGTCATTTCGGCCGAGCCACATATCAACGAAGTTTTCGCAGCCCAGACAGGGGAAGTGGATATGAGTACCAGAGTGGAAGATACCCAAGATCTTCCTCTATAAGCTGGAGCACGCTGCCGCATCCTTCAGGGGGGGTGTACGTTCCAATATCTGAAGTCATCTCCAGTCGCGCCTGCCTGGAGAAACCACCTATGGATCACGGGCCATCAAACAGCTGCGGAACTTTCTTGAAGAATCACCCATAGATAGCTACTGAACAGTACTCTTGATCTGCAAGACCTGGCACACATTCAACCAGCAGCTCCTCCGCAACGTCGCTACGGTCCAGGACATCATCTTCACCCCATTCACCAAGGCGCGGGTTGATGGTGTGGACCGGCCGTACCTGGAATGGATGAACCGATATTTTCTTCGTGGACCCCGGGCTGAAGCTGAGCGCTGGCGGTTACATCGACCAACTCAAGAAGAATATCTTCTCCACATGTCGCGCCCGTACCTTCTTGGAAACTTTGTACTGCTACAGCATTGGGTGCCACCACATGGAATCGAAGGACATTGGAGAAACTCTCGCCTACTTGGAAGGGAAGGGGGCTGAATACCCAAAAGAAGGTGGAATATCGGCACGCTAGGGTCATCCTGCTTGAATCGCCCTCAATTACGCCCGGTTTGGGCGGAGCTCCAAGGTGGTCTACGGTGGCGGATGAAACCAAAGCGATCCTCGATCACTCCGGTACCGCTCACTTTCGCGAGCGCGAATTTCTTTCTTGTATTCTGCTGCCGTGCCAGAAGGGCTGTGCGGAGTATCGTTATATGTATTTTAATAGTGCTCTTTAATATCGGTAAGTAAAATGTCCGATAAACATATTTAATAAAAGTCAACTTCATTAGCGCTTGAAAAGTCATAGGAGAAAATATGCTTTCTCTGCGTAGCCACGCCTACTCTATTCTCGGGACATGGAGTGTACCTTCATAACGATGTCGTTTTGCTGCACATGAAATATCTATTTATACCTGCCTGCCTCGCTCCCCCTCTCAACTAGTCGGCGAATTTTTTTCCGGGAAATTGCAGATAGGATGAGCAAAATATGTGGATGAAATTGGAATTCGGGTTGAAAAGAGGTCCCACTTGAAATGGCGTTGTGGGGTTGAGTTACCAGGGCTTGCCATCATGGGGTGAGTTTATGATGGCAAGCCCTGGTTTCAGCTAGGCTATGCTGCCCATGAGAATCCACTGCAAAAAAAATTATAGGCAAAAAATTCACATTTTCTACGAGTGCTAGGCCTTTCTACTGGTTTTGTTTCCTTGCACTTATTGTTTTGCCCTAAGTTCCCCAATTTCAAGGGAGGAAAAGGGCCATCAAAATGGAAATTGCTTTTATCCACAAAACTTCAAATAGAGCTGTTTACCAATGAAAGTTCGTATAGGGTCTTACTCTGGATACTGATAAGTTCAAGAATCAGGAACACTCTGGACCTTAATGAACACTCCCGTTCCGAGCAATCCAGACGACATTCATAGACAAACAGCTGTTTCCCTCTCGGAACTCGCCACGGTGATCGATTGCGGTGAGTGGACACCCTTGATGAATAAGAAATCTGCATCTCTCAGAGGCACCGATTGACAATTCCTTTCAAAGATAGGGGGATTTCCAAGAATGCGGAGATAGACGGAGGAAGTCTGCCTAAATGGCGAAAGGTTCAAGGGTTAGAATGAGTATCCGCCCTTCTTGCTGACCCATCTCCACCCGCACACTTTGGCACATCGCACCAGCAATGTTTTCCTCCAGAGACCAATCTGCTGCCAATGCGTGACATGATGCAGCTCTCACACTTTACTGATCGACGTTGCACACGTGATGGTGGGCTGATGAAAAAAACACCATCACATTCCAACAGATTATTGACTTCAGCATATTATTGAATAGTTTGGTAGGTTTACGACTGTGGACGAGTCTCTTCACGATTACTCTACCTAGGGCCGAGATGCAGCCCCTATGTAAACCCTGAAGTGGCGAGTACATTGGGCAAGATACTCCACGAATAAAAAAGCCTTTGTGGTGTGCTGACGAAAAGTGCTATGGCACAAATATGAATCCCATCTTTATCTTGTCGGGTTCACGCCCAT